GGCCCGTCTTTTGACGGTACTACAAGAAGTAACCAAGAATATCAGTGGCAACGCAATTGTTTCCCATCGATTGAACATTTACCAGCGGTTGTTGGGCCAAGCCAAGACTGCTTTCATCTCCCAAGCAAACCTATGGATCGAACATTTGATATTCGGGCTGCTTCATCATCTGAAGGATACCAGGTCAAAAGCGATCGCACTTGGCTTCCAGGTGGCCACAGAAGCCGGTCCCAATCCTACACTGTCAAAAAACATCCAGGATCTCTTCGACCGACCATTAGAGCACGGCCGAAAGCTTGTATCAGAGGTTCGTGAGCGCATGACTCGAATGATGGCGACGGTGGATAGCGGTGAGCATGTTCCTCAAATTTGGAGCGTCATTATCCTTCTTCTCCGGAACAAAAGATGGAATCTGGAGAAATGGGATCATTTTAAGGAATGGGTTCTCGTGGCCCAAAAATGCTTCAATTGCAGCGAACCAGCGATCAAAACGCAGGCTATCATTGGTTGGAATCGATTTGTCTCTGCTATCAGCCCCAACGAATCGACACCCCGAGCGATCCTCCATATGCTGGGCAAACCGGTACTTTCTCAATTTGACCGCAAGAAGACCGACAAATCAGGATCACCGCCTACTCCAGTTTCTCTGACCAGCTACTATAATCTGCTATACTACACTTTCCGCCCTTCAGTTTCTTATCAGCACCTAGACATTATATGGGAGGAATACGTGGTAACGCCGTCCTTGGGGATCTTCTCATCAGTCCCGGTTCTCAGCGACTGTCTTTCACGCATATTGACGAACCTGTTATGGAGTACGCAGGCTAAGCTATGGACAGAGAATCGAATCAATGACACCACCAAAATGGAAGCAGAGGAGCTTCCTGCTGCTGACAGCAGATGGGTTCGATCAAGAATTACCTCAATTCTGAAGGTTTTTGAGCATATATTCAAAGCCTCAGTTTGGATTGATGACGCAGTTGGCCAATCTCATGTGGCATTGGCCTGGAACAGTCTTTCCAGTGCGTTATCGCTTGCATCTAGCAAAGAGATTACCCCTTCGGGGGAATCGATGCAAGCTGTTGCTAGCGTTTGGGGTCTACTGCACCGCCTTTGGATTGCAGGGCCGCCCTCGTTGAATGCCGACAGCACAGATGTTTTCTTTGAAAGATTCAGATTCTTGTCTACAACGATGATTGTTTCTATTGGGGGCATTCCATTTACCGAAAAGCTTCTTTTGAGAAACGCGGATGAAACCGACAACATTTCCAAACATTCACATCCGAATACGACACAAGAAAGTGCTATTCTTCATCTCCTTCGAATAATCAGCAGTACTGCAGGGACAATAGTGCCGAGCAAATCTTATACACACCTTGTTTTAGGTAATATTGACGCCGCATGCAACGGGAGATTCTCCCGAGGATCTCGCCTAGAACTTCTCCAACAATGTGCAGAATTAAGCACTGCAAGTACCAGTGCTGTTCCTCGTGCGGCTCAACTGTCGGAGGTTATTTGGGAGGCCACTGCCCAGGCGGCCGCAGGTGCTTTGCAGTCGTTCCCTATGGAGTCCGCTCGTGATCGCGACGGCTCTGTATCCCGTGACCATGAAAATGTCATCAAGATTCTCTCGTTTGGACTTTCATTTCCATCGGCCTTTCACGAGTGGTCTCATTTGCTCGAAATTTTTGTTCGCGTCGTTCGAACAGAGAAAGGAAACCAAGCGGTTGCCACTATGATTGTGGAACCTATGGCCGAACGCCTCATGAATCTTTCTGCTGGAGATACCTACCTACCCTCAACTTCATTGCTTAGTAATTCCTTATCCATCCCTTTCATGCAAGGAACCGGGCTAGGGATTGACCGCAGTGGCATCCAGGCAGCTGGTCATGCCATCTTTCCTCATAAACTCCTCGCATCAATTGCCCAGACATTACGTGGTGCATACGACAATTTCAACGCATCACAACCCACTGGTCTTGCGGACTTCATAGAGGTATTGACTTCTTTTCTTGGGACCTGTGTTCCGCAATTTCAAAGCCAAATTCTTCAAAGTCTCCAGTCATCACTTGGTCTTTGGTTGAAGGATGAATCTCACAAAATCCATGTTGACCGCGGTGTTGACAGCAGAATCCTAACGGCGTGCCGTGCGCTCTCGTCAGCTACCATCAATATTCTGCAAACATCAATTTCTCATGACCTACCTTCTTTGAAAGACTTTGAGCCTATTCTTTGCGCCGGGTTGGAGTCTTCGCACATGTCAACAGCCAAGAGATATGTCGAACTTTGGAGCTTGACCTTTGGCTCACAGTCTTTTGTCACCCCAACCAGCATTTTGCAAGCTGTACAAACTGCCGAGTCCAGGGCCCAGACCGCAACCTTGCCTCCGCAAGACGGTGATCAGGATACCGAGATGTTATCTCCACCTCCTCCGCAAGACAAAATGAATCAATCATTGCATCAGCCGTCTCAGGACAATCAGCTTTCGTCCCCTGTCATACGAACTGAAGACTCCTCCGTGGTCCTCAAGCCAACCGAACAGTTCTGTGACCCACAGTTGCCGAGTAACCCTCAGAAGCCCATGGATGCGCAAATGGTTGATGGCATCTCACTATCTCACAAGCGCAAAAGCCATCACGAAATATTTTCGATGATTGAATCGATTCAATCTTCGTCACCAGCCAGTACTCCACGGAAATTGGGCTTCGATACTCCTCGCCATGTACGCAAACTACATGGAGAATCACTGAGCAGACTTCCTCTAACACCCACTCTCGCCCCTACTGAGAATGAAGACGGATTCATCGGCTCGTCTCCTACGCCTGGGACCAGAGACCCGACACCTGCCATGAACTCCGACGCACTCACATCAAGCCACCTGCCTGCGGATTTGGGTGGAGACCCTCCATCATCTCCCCCTGAGATGCAATCTCGGAGCCCAAGCCCTCGCAAGGGTCGCTCGAAAAGCGCGCGGCGAAGGGCTGCAAAAGCAAGGAAGGCTCTTGTTGCTACATCCAGCAAGCAGTCAACAGTCAACAGCCCGGCTACTTCCCGTCTTGCGACAGAAAACATAGATACACCTATGAGCGATGCCCGTAACCATGATAATGAAAACGCCGACGCTACATCTCGAGCAAACGGAGTGACTCCTAGTCGGCGGCTTCGATCTGCCCTGGGTAAAGACTCAGACATAGCAGAGCTTTCTCCGGTGCCACCGGTTGACACCGATAAAACACCCGTCCAACAACCTTCTCGCAGGAGTAAACCAAACTCGAGCTCCAAGAAGAAACGGAGGCAAACTCAGTCTAAGCCTGCGGACGATCAACCCCAGCAAGCCATGGACATGCCTCCTGATATCCTTCTGGATAGTTTCATGGACTCGAGTGAAGAGACAGAGACACAAATCGCATCACAGCTCGGACAGGACTTGGAACTAGCAGTGGATATAGACGATAGGGATGATCTAGAGCGAGCAAACCTTCCTGATGAGCCATCCACGAAGAAGAGAAAGCGAGATCAAGAGGAGTCGCCTTCATCTGTGAGAACCGACAGGCGCCGGTCCACGCGGCTGTCCACAGTTAAAGATGTGGCCAGCACCGAGTCACTGCAACCTGATTCTTCACACTCGCACCATGCCATTTCTCGGCCTGTCTATCCCGCTAAATCATTGTCGCCAACTGCTACTCGCCGATCCACCCGCAGTTCACAACGAAAAGATAGTGATAACCCTCCTGCAGACTCGGTTGCACAGGAATCAACACAGGAATCAACACAAGATATTGAGACCCCGCGGCCCTCTAAAAAGACTCGCAAATCCATTCGTCTTGACGATCAGTCTGTTTCTACCGCCATCGATAGCACTCCCCAAAGCGTTCCTCGAGATACCCGCTCCCGCAAAACGCGATCTCAGCAACACGCATTTGAGGTGTCTCAGCCTCAATCTTCAAGCATTCCATCCGAGGAACACGGCGATACTGACCAGTTGCCACCTCATGTCGACCTGGACACGGTCCCTGAGAGCCTCATTACAGAAGATCAAGCGAGGCACAACACCTCTCTTGTTTCTACCGAAGAGGCAACTGCTACTCAAGTCTCCGAAGTGGAGCAGACCATTGAGCCTGCGGTAAAACCAGACATCGAAATGGACATCGACATGAATGCAGTACAGCAGCCCGGTGGAATAGTCGAGCAAACTACAAGTGTTGCCACCACAGGTACCCAAACCCAAGAATCACCCCCCGAACCCAAGCCCGACATCAGCGAAGGCATCACCCAGTCTTTGAAGAACTTCTTGGGTGAAATGAAAATGACGAATTTGTCCCCGAGCGCTTTCCGTGAGGTGGATGATCTTCTCTTCAAACTCCGTTGCGAGGCACAAAATGCATCAACGCGACACAATACTTCAGCATAGCGAAAGGCGTTTACAGCGAAACCTGTTGGATAGGATTTTTTTATATTGGACCCCGTCTCATCATTATTCCCCACCTGCATCCTATATGTCTTCATAACTTGAAGCACAGCGCCTATTTTATTGCTTGGAATGCTTGGTCCCAAATCCTTTTTTTTTTGTACGTTACGTTTTCCGCGCTCAGGGGTTTCTGCGAGTATAATATGATCTAAACATTGAACATTATGATATTCAAGAATTAAAACGCCAGATATAGCAGAAAGAAGATGATATGGGAGTCTAGTTCAATATCTCAGTACCATACGTTTCCCCTCGACCATCTGCTGTCGCCACCATTATCACCAGATTCCATATTAGCCAGTTGGAGCTTGACCCGAAAGTGTTCAGGTACGGTTTACTTGACTGTCATGATGACGCAGGCTGCCACTCCTTCCTAAATAGTGTACCAAACCAGGAGGAAGTCGCGATCAGTTTGGCAGCGCATTTCATCTAACTTTCGCGATTATATGTACATATTGGCTCGACTGTACTTTTCCAAACAATGGCCACCCCCGGCACTCAGTATATGATGTAAACCGGCCTGGCAGCCGGCATGTCAGGCACACAGGGGGTGCACTCCCCGCACTCCAAGCCGGTAGACCCCCATCTCAGCGACCCGGTCAACGTGCTTCCACCCGACCTAACACCCGACTCAAAAAGCCGAATCGCACTGCGTGGTGTGGGTAGTAAAGACGTACTCATTCCCTACCTGAGTATCGGCGCATGGTCATGGGCCGACAAAGCAACCTTCAACTACAACCCAACACGAGACCTACCGCGCATTCACGCAGCATGGGCCAAGCTCAAGTCTGTTGGGCTGACCTTCGTGGATACAGCGCAGTCCTACGGCGACGGCGAGAGCGAGCGGATATGTGGAACCCTGTTCCGGGACATGCCTTGCGACTCTTTCGTGGTGTAGACAAAGTGGCTATCAACACCAGACATGACCAATACACTCATGCAGGCTGGCGAGCCCAAGGCTAAACTTAAAGATTCCCTCCTCCGTCTTAACCTGGACTACGTCGACATCTATCTCGTACATGGGCCTATTCATCCTAGCAAGATATCCACGGTCGCTAATGGCATGCCCGACTGTGTGGAATCTGAGATGATGCGCGCGGTTGGGGTGGCTAATTACGATACAACGGAGATGATCAAGATAGCCGATGAGCTGGCCAAGCACGACGTCCCGCTCTCTGTCTGCCAGTGCGAGTACTCAGTCGTCCGCCGCTCGCCTGAAGTCAGCGGCATGATACGAGAATGCAGAAAGCGGAGTATCTGCTTCCAGGGGTTTTCCTCGCTGGCCGAGGGCCGTCTTTCTGGCAAATATCCACGCTTCATTGAGCCCAAACGCAGGCGGCAGTTATCCCATGCATATACTGGAACCTACTATCAATGTCTTGAAGAGTATTGCCGAGGGGCAGCATGTGCCTGTTCCTGCTGTTGCACTGAACTATTCTATCAACAAGGGTGTTCTGCCACTGGTTGGCGTGCGCGATGCTAGTCAAGCGGAGCAGGATATGCTGGCGTTTGGATGGCGGCTGACGGAAGATGAGATGGAACAGATTGGAGAAGTCAGTCTAGAGGGTAGTAGGTCCCCCTTTATGCAGCATGGGTAGGTAATGAATAGATAGGTGATAGAAGTCTACAGTGTCAACGGCGGGCGTGTCTGTGAATTGCCCTTTCGAGTTAGGATATAAACTCTCTTCAATGCTTTCAACATGAAAGACACGACTTCGCTGCTTGTCCTCCTCTCTCTCACTTTTTCCATTCTTCCTCCCTCTCTATCTTGCACTCATCGCTGCGTCCAGCATTGTGTAACATACTGGATTGATCATGCTATGCTAGCCTCGGATGAGCGAGGTATCTACTTTTTGCACCGATATCATAGCTAGGCCGCAAAAACTCAGGTGTTAGGCAAAAAATGCGCCATAAGCTCGACTTTTAGTCTATACCATCAAATTACTACTTTAGGTTATGGAGTTTGGTACTCGAATTTGACATAGGTTAGGCTTGATATGAGCCCATAGATAAGATGTAGCTCATCAAGATACCGAAGAACTAAGTCCAGAGCGACATTCAAGGTAGAGATCACTTATTTGTGCGAGGGCCTCCTTAATGCCACGAAATTATCCTCATCTAGCGCATTCTTTTGCTGCCATGCTAAGAAAGCATCATAGTTCTTGAATTGGTGCTGTATATAGAAATCAGGGAATGCGTGATCCAATGTGTCGGTCCATACGTGTGTATAGGCATCTGTGCTGGCGGAGCACATTATGTTCTGAGCCAGCAACCATACAATATGCCGTGGATGACGACTTGATGTGTGGTTGCGAGTGAACCTGGAATTGGAATATGTTGCGTTCATTACATGGTGGAAGTTTTGTATCAATGGTGGAATATAACTTATTCTGGATTTTCTGTGTATTCAACACGTTACGATCTTCTGTGCTCTTCTTCTATTGCATACATGAGATGCTCATGTTCGTTGAATCCTTACACGTATTACAACCCAGTAACAGAGGCATCGTAAATAATTTCCTCGTGGTATAACGTTATATTTGGTGGACCACAAATTTTTATTTTCAAATGTTAGGTCCCGTCTATACACTTTGCTCAGCACGCGATATTTATCCAAGAATCGGTATATGTGCAAAATTTATGCGTAGGTCTGGAGTCTAAAGCGTAGAATACATAACAAAGCCTGCTACTCGTCAAATACTATTGAATAGAATGGAATCACTGGTTTATTTGACAAATTTGGAAGACACTGTGTCATATGTCGGTTCCTATAACCCGAGTTAGCAGAGCTTTATACGAGACATTAGAAGGTAATATGCAGCCACATCAGATAGCATATTGACTTCAAGCGTGAAGATGAACAGAGACCATGTTTAAGTAGATATCTTCTGTAGCAATGAAACTGAAATGAACTAGTATTCCAAGGTTATACACCTGACATTTTTCGTAGCTTACCAATCTCCAGAATCATTGCGTCCAGTCAGCACACGGTTTCAAATTTTAGTCTTGTCAGCAGCCAATTTAAAGGGGGCGTTCCTTTATCTCTTAGAAAGTTACAAGTCCCTCTCCTTCGACCCCTTAAACTGCGCACATAAAATTTTCGAAAATCCAGTCTTTATATTCAAAATCTTCAGACAAATACATCCCTCAAATATCTTCTCAGATTCATCCCAAGGATGACATCCGCACCCCATTTCCGGTACTCAACAGGCGAAATTGCGACTTCCGAGGCCGCCAAGTCGTTTTCATGGGAAGCGCCTGTCTCAGTGGATCGTTTCTGGGACAGCTTCAGTTACTGCATTGCCCGGAACTTCTTAGGCAACTTTTCAGATTCTTAACTGGAGCAGCTAGCCTTGGATCCAGCGGGAATAGACCCTGATAGCACCGCAGATCAGTAGACGAAGCTTCAGCTTATCTTACAACTACTCAAGAGAAAGCTAGAAAAAGAAGAAGCCGCCGCTTCTCAATATCAGTCACTTTATGAACTTGATTACAAGCGATGGTATGCGCTATGGCAGGGAATTTACTCTTTAGAGAATGAATTAGGCCTCCCGCAAGCAGAGGAGACTGTCCGCATGTGAGTGGAGAAAAGACCAGACAAGTCAAACATCGTTCCTCTACATATGCTAGCGGAACACCTTGTCAAGACTGTGAAATACAAGGAGGCAGAGGAAACAGAGCTACCGGTTTGTGAGTGGATGGATGCTCGTCCACACCTAGGGAAAGCCTCCCCACAAGCTCTTAACGTTCGTCGAATTATTACAAGAGCTTTATGGGGACAGGGTCCCTCACGTCGACCTAAGGCTGAAGAACTAGTTGCTATAATCCATTCACTTGTTGATAGCATGGGTGAAAGCAAGTTCGGAGTGTGTCAGGAAGAGGAGAGAAGGCTTAATGAGGATATGGTGGCTCAACTCAACTGAAGGATGTAGATCTTAAGTATACTATCATTTAAAACCGCAGCTGTGGCGAACAGTAAGGCCACAGAACCAACATAAATAAAGGACACTTTAACCCTTTACATATATTTATAAGCATATTTCGGTTATAAGTAGTGCCTCTGATGGTATAATTATCTCAAAGTACTTCAGTGCGAACCAACACGTTAGAATTGAGGAAACTCGCATGTATGTGTGCTGACATCCTAATAACCCCAATGCTTACTTATCATGTATGACCGCTAGGCTCAAAGGTACAGCTGACAGTATTGGAGTACCTACCCAGTATCGTCGGGATAATCGTGTCCTCGCTAAACCCACTATAACTATCAGCTTGAACCGTGATAGTACATGTCGCAATCAGCGCCATCTAATTGCGCAACTCCATGCCAAGAGCCGCGCCCTTGGCAACTGCCGGGATTTCGACGGTTTCCTGGGCATCTCAGCTCATTCGACCATATTCCGAACCCTACATCCGCTCTTCGTGACCGTGAGGTGCCTACATGTGACCTCACATGACCGAGCCAAGCTGGCTAACGTTTGCCCATAATATTAATCCCGCCAACAATACCGCGACATGCTACACCATCACCGCACTCGGATGCTACCAAGACTCTTGGCGTGGCTCACCCATCGCACCACCCGCAAATCTAAAGATCCAGGCTGAGAATGCCTCCCCGATGCTCTTGGCACCTGGGCATGGGTCCGAGGTGACGGTAGCAACAGGATCAGATGGTTGGCAAGCCCTTGGCATCAGTCGGAAGCCTTATGGAAGCCTCTGTCGTCTGCTACGGAGGTTTCTGGACGACTTTGTTGCTGTTAGCCTTTCCTTTGATCTCTCATCTCTGGAAACCTCGTCATTATCGTCGCATGAAGTTCAATCTCTTGAAAAATTCCTCATTTGATCGGTACCACCATGGTACTCGCCCAATATCTGAAGAAGGTCGTGGCCTGGATCGCTCCTCCTCCGAAAAAAATCGGAAGATGGACGTGATCAGTGGCCCTCTCGAGCAGCCTTCCTGCTGGCCGCTATGGGAGGCTGCGCCGGTCAGGGGAATCTGCTGCGATACCCCTCGGTAGTCTACAATAACTACGGACTACAGTGGTTTATTCCCTACTTTTTAGCCGTATTCGCCGTCGCCATTCCGGCGCTTATTCTCGAGATTGCGATTGGACAAGCCTATCGTGGTGGAACGGTGATCGCGTTCAATAATATCAACCATCGGCTGAAAGGCGTCGGCATGGGCCCGATTTTGATCAGTTTTGTCGTCGTACAATACTTCACAGTCAACTTGGCGTGGATCATGAACTACTTCCGCAACTCCTTCCGGAGCCCACTGCCATGGGAGGGCAGGATCGAGGAATTCTACATGGGCGATGTTGTCGCCAATGTCGATCCGGTCGTGGGCAATCTCACTGCTGGCAATGGTGCTGTTGCCCACTATACCGTGTACCCTGGTGTTGCCCTTATTGGTGAGACGGTCGGCTGGAGCGCCTTTATCTGGTTTCTCATATGGATTTCTATCTTCCGTGGAGTGGGCCTGACGGGTCGCGTCGTCTACTGGACGATGGGTCTGCCGATTGTCACCACCATCATTATCGTCGGTCGCTCTTGTTCACTGGAAAATGCGGGTGAGGGTATCCGACTCTTATGGGCGACATGGAGGAGCGACCAACTCGCCTCGGGAACTGTCTGGCAAACCGCTGTCGGACAGGTCTTCTTTTCCACCGGCATCGGTTTCGGGTATTTCACTTCCTATGCTTCTTATAATTCTAAACACTCTAATGCTGTCATGGACGCGATTCTAATTTGCGGAAGTAACATCCTGTTCGAGAACTTTGCTGCCTTTGCCGTGTTTGGTGTTGTAGGTTACCTCCGACGTTGGCCACAGGATGGCGAGAGATTGGGTGCATTCGTGGTTGGTTTCCTGACGCTCCCCGAAGCCGTGCTTCACATGCCTGGTGCAAATTGGTGGGCAATCCTTCTCTTCTTTACCCTAGTGGTTCTCGGGTTTAGTTCGGCCTTTGTGATGCTTGATGCGGTGGCTACGTTGGCTGTGGATTCGGGTGTGAAAATGTCACGACCGATGATTGTGACCGGCCTCACAATAATTTCTTTCCTTATGTGCCTACCATACTGCACCCAATTCGGATTCTACCTGCTGGATGGAATCGACCGATGGATTAACAATGTGGCCTTGATCTTTGTGGTGTGGTCGGAGCTCGTCGGTGCAACCACGGTTTATCGCTGGCACGACGTAGTCAGCCAGACAAGGCTGCCTGCTTTTGTTTTGTATAATTTCGGATACTTTGGTGGCCAGATTTTCGGGGTTGCCGTCGCACATGGTGTCTCGAACCCGGCAGCTGGCGCCGGCGCCGGGTTCGGGTTGTATATCGTCTGCTCGATTCTTTCCGTTCTCATTGCCACGACCCCGGGTATCAAAGCAGCCAGCTTCTGGGGACGGAACCCTCTTCTCAGTCGATTTTGGTATCTAGCATTCTACTCGGTATGTCTCGCTGCCACCAAGGCTTGCACCAAAAGAAACTAACATGCTCAGGGTAATCAATTAAGACGTGACCTGAACGGTGTCGTTGGCGGTAATGGAAACTGGAATATCCCCCGTTTCTGGCCCATTATACTCCGATACGTCAGCGCGCCTATTCTGGCCATTGTGTTTAGCTTCGCGTATCCCGAATTTTATACTCTGCGATACGACCCCATGATGATCGCTGGGTTTATTTTGGCGCACTTTTGTTTGCTCTTGATTCTTCTCGGTGTGGTGTTTCCGCGATACTACGACATCTTTATTCCACCTCATCGGAGGGCCGAGGGTACCGAAATGACTATCGCCAGTCAGCCTAAAGAACAGGACTTTGTGCCAGACGTTGGGATATTTGACTTTGAATCTGGCATGCCAGAGTCCATTTCGGGCCGCAAAGGTTCTGACAGGATAGATACTGAACATTCAACGGCGGTGCCGAAGCTATAGACTGTATGTATTCTTTCCCCTCAATTTAAGGTGAAGATGGGCTGGCTGTGAAATGACTTTTACTGTATCTTTTTTCTTATGGGGTTACTATATAAAGGATATTTAGGCATTACAATTGCTATTCTTACGATTGCTATCAGGCGATGGGGCACCAACACAGCAAAGGTGGCATAGAACCCTTGGAAGCTCTGTCCGGTTTATGATTTTTACTGCCTTCGTATACATCTCAAGAGACATCTTAAAAAGACCGACATGCTATCTCCAAAAGATTCTCTTGGAATTCATATTATTAGACATATGGACAGACACATTTCTTTTCTTTTTTTTCCGGTCGTTGCCCATCTGGTGTCGGTTACGGCTGTCTTCACATGCAAAGGTTGTCTCGCAATGGGCGCACTTAAACTGGGGTATGACAAAGCCTACCGGCAGTGTCTCCGGATACTCACTGTACCCGTGGACCTCCAAGCAGAATGGGAGTTCCGGTGGTACTCAACATTAGTAAGCTAGTAGTTTATCGTATATGGAAACTAAACTACTATTCATGGTATAGACTGACTATTTGCATAACTTCAGAAAGCTGCAACCGGAGATACCGAATGTCTAATCTTGTGGACGATCAGCGAAGTGGACTCGTCCAAAAGCTGTTTAAAAAGCCACTGGGAAGCCACCTTGAAAGACATCTTATAAGACATTTCAAAAGTTGTTTTATAAGGCATTTGAAAGCAGTATCTTGAAAAACTATCTAAAAAGCCATGTAAAAAGCCAACTCAATAGTCATCTTAACAGATATCTTAAAAAGATATTGAAGTCGTTTAAAAAGCAATCTTAAATCATATATAAAAGCATCTCGATATCAAAAGGCCCTCCAAATGGCGTCTAAAAATATGTATAAGTCAGTATTCCAGACTGCAAAATTAGGAAACAAAAAGGAACCTTGGAAGAGACGCCAATATACCCCGGATTCCCCGGGTTTACACTCAACCACGGTTTGCGCTGATCTTTTGTATAGAATCAGATGAAGATGAGTCCGGTGAAATTATTGTTCCCGTTCATATTAATGTAATAACGCACCGATGGTCAAGTGGTACGACGCTCCTTTCCCATGCATAAATTCTTATTCTCCAAATAGGAATAGCTAAATCAAGGGAGTAACCCGGGTTCGAACCCCGGTCGGTGCATTATTTGCTTCTTTTTCTTTTTCCGGTTTTTTTTTTTTCTCTAACTTCTAGAAAATACGTATGAATTTTTTCACATGGGAAAGGAGCCCCGTACCACTTGACTATAACATGAAAATCAATTTCACCGAACTCATCTTCATCTGATTCTATACAAAGGATCCGCGCAAACCATGGTTGAGTGTAAATCCGGGGTAAACTGTCTCCTACTTTGTGGGGACTACCTAAGTTTATTCAGAAAAGAAAACTTAGGTAGTTTGGTTCAAATACAAATCATAAAATCGTTGTCTTAAAATTATACAAACACTAACAAAAATTCCAAAGAGACAACATTATGATATCAACAAGGCGACCGTGCATGTTTCTTTTGATACAATTAAACATCATATTGTTTTTCAAGCGTGTTTACTGGGCCTTGAGTTGTCGTGTCAATTCGAAGATGCCCCTTTGTGGTCCAGTTTTCGAGGGGGACAGCTTCGACACGATGCATGTCGTTCAAGAACTCGTTATTGGACCTGTTGATGGGTTCAGTGCTCGAGCGCTTGGTGCTGCTGTACTTGCCAGGCGGTGTGCTCTTATTTCCTCGACGAAAGGGTGGCTTCCATGAACGAGGGGATGCGAATGAAGGGCGAGATTGTGAATTGTTGGAATCGCAGCCGCTACTATCATTGTTTTGGTTGTCGGGGTTTCCAGGCCGCTGGGCTCGGTTGCTGTTGTACTGGAATGCCTTGACGCCAAATAACTTGCGCAGTAGTGGCCACCAGCACATGAGGTTGGCGACATAGATTGCTGTGCTGGCTTCGCGGATGTACCAGATTTGGTATGTGGTTGTGAGCGGGGAGGCAAAATTGAAATATTTGTTTAGGATAGCAGCGATGATCGTGAACAACCCTAGGCTCATGACGCCGATGAGGACGACCTTTCTGCGTCGTTTGAGTTGAGCTTTGATAAGGAGGGGAATTGGAATGGCGAACATGACGGCATCAGAGGAGATATTGAAGACGGCTTGGGTTATCGAGTAGTACTGATATGTCGCGCACTGCATATTATCCACCGGCATGGCCCAGTACTGTGAGAACGGTCGGCAGTAAACTGCATAGTAGGTGACCATTATGACGACAAATCCGACCGCAACATAAACCGCAAGGATCTTGATATAGAAGTTCGATTTCAGATTCTGTGTGATTCGCCAATAGAGCATCAGCATACATGTCTTGACGCCCCAGGTTGAGATCAACATGCATTGCTCCAGCCCAATGACAATTTTGCTTCCATAGATCCGATCGCTGACTTGCTTTGGGTCCGCTAGTACCTGGTCGTAGTCCTTGGGGTCCATGAGGTTTGTTGCGTAGCGGGCCGATATTTGAATCAGGACTAGCATGGTGGTATAGATTGCCTTTCAGCCGTGGGGTCAGTCAAAAGAAGTGACTCGATTTCCCAATAACACTTACGAAGGTTGCTGCCATCACATAGTCGTCCACTAGATGGTTACTTGTTAGCAGAATCCAAAAGGTAGAGCCTAGAAATCTTACCAAACAACCGTTTCCATGATCCATTGGCGATTATACGAGCCACACTTTTCTGCAATTAGCATTGCTCTAATTCTGGGGTTGCGTTTCAAACCTACACTCTTCCGACATAAATGACAAGCCCTATAGACCAGAAGACTATGGCTTCTGTAAAGAGCTGGTTTGGAGTGGGCGACACATTCCCCATCTTGACAGATGTGCGACCTCGGGC